CTACCGGTCAAAATTTTTATAAGAATGACCGGTCAACCGGTCGGTCCGGTCCGGTCTGCATATGTTCACCGGTAACCGGTGACCGGCCGGTACCGGTTATGATTTTGTTGACCGGTTGCATCTCTGGCTTAAGCAACGCAGATAAGACGAGGCACAGTGTGCAACAACGTGGACATTAGGCGAAAAAATGAAAGTAAAATTTTTGAAACTTATGGTAAAAGATTTTTGTTTGAAAGTCCTTTCTGCCTGAGAAGATAAGTTTTTTGCTAAGGGTAAGGGTTTTCTCGAAACCTGTGCTCAGTAAAATGAGTTTCCAAATTTTTCCGAATGTCCAATCTTGATGGAACTTTCAGGAAATGTTCTTCTACACACGACACAGCCGCACTGTTGGCCGAAAATAGCAGGAAGTTTTCTGGCTGGAGATATTGACTTTGCAAAAAACCTGGTTTTTGAGAGATTTTACCGCCTATGCTCCTCTCTGATAGACTATTTTTCAGAAGTAATGACAGATTCGGAATCACCAGCGACAACTGTATCGGATGATGTACAATTTGAAACATTTTTCTACACAAAACGTTTTCGATTAAACTGAATCGTAGCGTAAAAGCACGACCGCAGCAAATTTTACGTGGGTATTTGGATATTCGTTTTACCAGCGAGACGAAAGTCTAGAAACACACGTTTTATAGTTTTCGAATATGCTCTTTCCAAGGGTGAGATTTTCGAACTTTTTGATATCGAAAATCTCATCGCTGGAAAGAGCATATTCGAAAACCTATAAAAAACGTGTTTATAGAGTTTTGTACCGCTTCTACAGCATATGTCTACGTGCCTAGCCAAAACTGCCCACTGTGCAAGGGACAATTTCCATGGCCGTCGCAAAGAAATCCATTTCATGTGGTAGAGAATCGTTTAGATTCGCAAAATGTACGAGAGAGGCTTTAATCTTAAATCTGTTCGGTTGTCAGCGAAAATAATGATACAATAACGTTTGATTGTTACGAAACGAACTGTTATAAATTACCTGTACAGCAAAAAGTTTCTATACACAAAACTGAATGTCGTTCGAGAACTCGATGAATTTTACACAATGTGTGCCGAAATGGGACAGTTTCACAGCAAGTCACATCTTACCTAAGGACAAATTGGAAAGTCTCAGCAAAAATGAGAAGGAAACCAAAATGCGTTGACTAGGTCATATGTGAAGTTACTGTGAAATATTGATCTTTTTCTTCAAGCTATAAGACGTAATTCTCGGTCTGAAAGTGCATTGCTTACGAACACAGGTAGTACAGAAAAAATATTGAATAAATATGCAGTGCCACAAACTCCACTGATGCCGAGAAATAAATATAACCATAAATTTGATGGGGATTTGGACGATGTGATGGATGATAGCGATAATGATGTATGCTCGAAAATCGTGTATTTGTCAATAAACCCGAGTACTGACTTCAAATAGATCCCTTGATTTTCTCCGATGGTGAATTTTGATAATTGATATAGTTAAGCCATCTATCATTTGGAACTGTTGTTGGATAATTTCCATTCTCTAATAACCTTTCTGGGCTACTTTGTTAATTCGAATTGATAGTAGAGCCATCTACGTATATTCTATCGCTCAGAGTCCGATCTTTGACATATCACGTTGATTGCGACAGCATGTGCTGCTGATATCCTTCTTCTTCTTCAAGATGAATCTGGCTAACGATGTTTCCGTCAAAGCTTTTAAGAAACATGGGATTCTGGAAAGCTCGAGATGAACCATCAGAATCCGATCAAAAGATGTATCTTTTGAATGACTTTATAAATGACATCATTCTCTTATTAAAGCTAGAAATGTACACATTGTACACCATTAAAGTTTTATGTAGAGCCGTTATGAATATTAGCTTTGAGAAAAAGGCTCATTTATTTCAAAGTTTTTCATCTCCAAAAAGTCTGATTTTTATTTACTACTGTCCAGAGAATTAAAGGTTGTTTTATTACTTTTGCTGAATAATCGCACAGCTGCTTTTCCCCAATGTCGGCAGTTATCAAAGTTCACGTGAGATAAATTTAAGAAATTGCAACATAATCAATTTGATTTTGATAGTTTGTTCAAAACTTGTCCGAGGATATTTTCTAAATTACTTTCAAATCTAGCCATTATGTACATAATTGTTACACCAGTAAATAATCCAATATTTTGACACATAAATATTTTCATTTTTAAACCCATTGACTTTCCTGAACCAGTTGGTTTATCAGTAAAATAATCATGTTGAATTTCTTTACCCATTGAAATTAATTCTGGTATCTTTAAAAAAACTAGATTAGCATATACCGTTAAAAATTACAGCTATTGGGGAGGAGAGTTCCAGCTCAGATAGAAAAGGTTTTGTCTTACGAAACAAGTGATTGATGCTGTGTTAGTTTCTATTTGAGGACTGTTAAAACAGATTAACTGGCTATCCTAGCTGCATAAGTTGAAACTTTGCTAATTTGTAGAGGACACTTGTCTATATGCTGAACCTTTAAGGTGTTATGTTTGTTCGACTTGTGTCGATCCGTCGATTTTCTTATAAAAAACGAGACATTGGAAATATTTAAACAAAACACTCTACGTCTCTTTTCTAAAATTATATTAATGGTAGCTGTAGCATTTAAGAATCTCGATTAAATGGGATACCATGGGCTGAGTTTGAATGAGTTCTTAGCTGACAAAGTATACGATATAAGCAGCTTATAATAATAAAGTGTTAATTGAATAGCTATTTAACTACGACAGAAGTGAACGCATGTATTTTATGGTCCTTAAAATGAGCAACCATTTGCTACAGAATACTTTTATCTTTGTTGTGTTAGTAGAATAATACTACACATTATGGTCATTCATATGTGAAAATGATATAAGCCAAGTTCAAGTTCAAATTTATTTTGCATAAGCAGGGACATCACAAAGAAAGTAAATGTTTAGTAACTTATAACATCTGGCAAATAGAAGCCTTAGTGATACCTGTACAGCCAGGAACCATAGTGTCTCAATGCGAACAAATCAAAATTGTTTTAAAGCATGCGCATGAAATTCAGCATCACCGATTTACTTTATAACGCAATATTTTCGTATTAAAAATAGAATTTTAAAAAATAACTGCGAGGCTATTGAAGATCAATATGTGTGTACCACATTTTTAACTCTAATCTCTAACTCACTTTTTCTTCACGTTTTATGCGGGTATGTTCTGCCTGCAAAATAGAGATCTTTTCATTCAGGGATCTTAGGAAGCATTTCAAAATTCTTTACTCTCTTACTTCCTGCTTTACTTGTTTTCTTCTTTACTAAAGGGATGAACACAATAGAGGAAACGGGTCTTATGTTGCGTCCTAGCGCTCATAACTTTGAAGGGGGTCTTCTAAAGCGCCCCTAAAAAAAGCCGATTTTAAGCTGAAATCGCTTGATCGAAAGTTCGCACTGTGTACAAAGCTGTGTACGCACACACTTCTTTTCGTCTAGCAGCTGTATATTCACTCTAATCCAGGTCGTCCATTCCGGCGCCAGGATCCTGCCGGATCCAATATCGGAACATGCCGGAAGTTGGTGGAATTTGGTAAAATCCGGCAGCAGCCATACCGGATCAAGCCGGAAATCCATTGCTCGGAATCCGTGCCGGAAGATGTTGGAAAAGATTCGACCGGATCCGACATCTTCTGGGTCCTCCGGCCGATGAACCAAAATTAAAAGGATCCGGCAGGATCCGATCGAGTGAATTCGACCTGGGAATAGCTGAAGGAAAATAGATTGAAGTAAGAAATATAGCACTGCGACAAAATGCATGTTCAAGTTATCACTTAAAACACTACTCGAGCTTTCGACCTTTATTCAAGGGTCATCATCAATTCACTCCTGATGATGACCCTTGAATAAAGGTCGAAAGCTCGAGTAGTGTTTTAAGTGATAACTTGAACATGCATTTTGCCGCAGTGCTATATTTCTTACTTAAATCTATTTTCTTCACTGCACCACCTCCAAATTTTGCTGAGGGAAAAGACGAACGCAAAGATTAGTGTTTGATTAAACCTCAAAATCAACATATTTTAGGTCAAAAGATCGATAAAAGAAGGAGTTCTTCTAACGTGGTTTTTGCATTATGAGTTCAAGAGGGGTCTTGTAACAGGGGGGGGGGCTTCTTTCGTAGGGGGGTCCTCTATTGTGTCCATGCCTTTATTTTACTCTTTTCCCTCTTTACTGCTTTCTAAAC